CTTCGTCCATCCAAAACGATATTAGACCCATCTCCTTGACTWCAGGGATCGCCAAGCTGTTTGAAGGTTTTGTCCTCTCTAGAATTCTACCCGACAWCTTAGCTGATTTGGACATCAAGCAGTTTGCTATGGCGGGAAGGTCCACCTCACATGCTGTCATGTACCTGCTACACTTGGCCCTTGAAGCATTAGACAGTGGTAACTGCTGGATTAGACTGTTCTTTGCGGACTTCCGTAAAGGATTTGACCTAATTGATCATAAGTTATTAATAGATAAACTCACCACTTTTAACATCCATCTCTGCTTAGTTCGGTGGATCGCATCGTTCCTGCTCAACAGGTCTCAATGTGTTAGTATAGCTGGGTCCTGTTCCCCACCCCTGTTTCTAAAAGGAGGGATACCCCAGGGCACTAAATTAGGCCCCTTGTTGTTCGCTGTCATGGTAAACGATTTAGTCTCCAACTGGGGATCACGAGCCAAGTATGTCGATGACCTCACTATATTAGAAATCATCCCTAGGAATTGCCCCTCGTACCTGAGTTTTATAGTCAATGACATAGAATCATTTGCATTCCATAACAAAATGCGTTTAATCCTACCAAATGCAAAACCATGCAGATAAACCCATTACATTATAATAGCTACTCGTGCGCGCCCCTTTCCTCCTGTGGTGCCGTCATAGAATGTGYCTCGTCTTTTAAAYTTCTTGGTGTTTACATCTCCCATGACCTGACGTGGAGCGTCCACTGTGACTACATAATCAAAAAGTCCTTTTACGAGACAAACATCAAGAAATAAAACTAGACAACTCATGATTCCGATTCTCAAAGACGGTGAACACGAAATAGCAGCAAACAAGAGACCACTATCGCTTCTGTGTATTGCGTCAAAGACTTGTGGGAAAGTCGTACATAAACAGCTCAACTCTTATCTTTTAGAAAACGATCTATCGACATCTCACCAGAGCGGTAACAAGAAAGAACATTCCACCGAAACATTGAACGTTTACCTCACTGATCTCATGCTTGAAGCGATGGATAAAAAGAAGCTTACAGCTCTCGTCCTACTAGACCTCTCAAAAGCATTTGGCATGCAGCATCGACCATCTAAAGCTGCTCCAGAAACTCGCGAAACCTGGTTTATCATCTACTACAGTAACTTGGTTCAAGAGCTATCTATAACTGGGCGAACTCAGTCAGTCAGAATCGGCTCAGCCATTGCCAAAAACCCATGGTGTTCCTCAAGGTGCTATTTTGTCGCCTTTACTTTTCTGCATTTACCTGAACGACTTGCCATCTGCACTTAACACTTGCAGCCTTGAATCTTACGTAGACGACTCGAAATTATTCATTTCATTTCCCCTCTCTGAGACAGAGCCAACAATCAATAAGCTTGAACTTGACCTACTGAACATAGCACAATGGTGTTGCGCCAATAATCTACTGATCAACCCTGGAAAAACTAAACTCCTTTTTATTGGGACAAGACAACTGATAAACAAGTTACCTGAAACACCACAAGTACACTTTCTTGGCAAGTCATTAGAACCATGTACTTCGGCAAAGGACTTGGGAGTCATCTTGGACCCCCATCTAACCTATGATATCCACATTTCTTATGTAACCGCAGCTTGTTTTTCTAAGCTATCACAAATAAATCGTGTTAGAGAAAGTTTTGACAAAGACACCTTGGAACTTATAATAACATCACTGGTATTCAGYAAGCTGTTATATTGCTCATCAGTATGRTCTAACACTACAGCACAAAACATCGATAAACTGCAGTCCATTCAGAATTTTGCGTGCAAGATTGTTTACAAACTCCAGAAAGTATGACCATGTAACACCACTKCCGCGTCAACTTAACTGGCTCCCTGTTAAAAAACTCCTGTTCTTCAATACAAGTGCCTTCACAGCATTGCACCGGACTACCTTTGCAACAAATTCATCAAACGTTCCAACGTTCATAGTCGTAACACTCGATCACGTGATTTACTACAGATACCACTTCATAAGACTGCCGCTGGCCAACGCTCTTTCACCAGTATTTGGAACTCTCTCGATATAAACATTAAACAAAGCAAATCTTTGAAAAGTTTTAAGACAGCATTGAAGGAACATTTAATGAAATCTTAGAATATTACATTTATACAACATTAATTTCAACATTATTTCTATTATTAATTCATTCTTACTTCATTTTAAATACATGTAAATAGTTTGTGAAAAACCTTTTTAGGAACTTACTATTCATTCAAGCTATTATTATTATTATTTATATACAGTCAATCCCATAAACGTCGTTCAATTACAAGAGGAAAAGACAGCAACAAAATCATGATCTACATATATCATACTTGTTTTTTTGTGTGTGCAAGATTATGCGACCTCAAGTTCAACACCTTTGACCATGTCAATACCATTTAACTTGCAAACCTCCATCTTTGAGTCTTTCGTGGAATTGAAAAACATTTTTGATGGCATGAGTTTCTTTTTGACCTTATGTCTTTTTCAAGTTATCAATGTCAATGGTATTGACTGTATATATATATATATATATATATAAATAGAATAAATGAAGAAAAAGCCACGCAACTTGTAACTAGGTTTTCTACTTTTTAATGAACGTTTCGGCACTTCGGCCTTCTTCAGCAAACTATATATATATATACCTATTTCGAAATATGATATCGGATATAATGGCGAATGTATAATTGTTGAACGGCGATTACACGACAGGCAAAAGCATTCATGGCTTTTGCTAATTTAATGGAAATAACAACTGATTTAWACTGTAAAAAAGTCTGTTGTAAATATTAGCTCTATTTAGTCTTCATTTCYATGCCAAGGAGAATCCATTAAGTGAAATTTTGCTTGTCAAAAAGCGTGCCCATAGYCCCTTTCGGTCRTGCAATCTCCCTTCGACAATCGCCGTTCGCCGTTCTCCCCGACAACGTTTTGAAATAGGTGTGCAAATGAGTCATGTATGTCTAACTAGACCCTGTATGCAGGGTTGACACGTACCCTTTGTTGTGCATGATGTTGTGAGATCATTAGTAAACTAGACCCTGTATGCAGGGTTGACACGTACCCTTTGTTGTGCATGATGTTGTGAGATCATTAGTAAATGAGGCCTTATTAAAACCTTACTGATACAGAATAAAGAAATGATTTGATCCATCGAGCCTTGCCAAGATATATGTGATTTTTGCGATAAGCTTATATGTGGTGGCTCTTAAAATTTCAGCTGTAACTGCCTTTGTGATTCTGCAGTATAATTTTAAGGTCAGATATACCCGGAGATATATAACTAGGCATGATTTGGTTACAACGTGACGCTTTATTAACTTTTGATATGATAGTAACACAATATTTTTGCACATCTACATTAAAACTCGACATATCTATTGCAGATGTTTGAATAGCCATGGAATTAATAAGCATTTTCTAAAGAGTTGTATTGATATTCAATCATTGGAACCCAATCACTATATCGTTGCCGTTGCTTCACGAGTAGTAAGCGTGTTGATCTCTGTAGTGAGATCTCCTCGTCATCACAATTCAACATACCCTTGGTCCGAACACCCAGACAAGTAATGAGTTCCAGATTTTGGTCGTAAACCTTCATGTTCTGTTCCATATTCGTTAGTAGAGACAATATTCATCAAAATGGCGGATAAAACATTGTGCAGAACGAGTTGGAAATGTTGCGAACGGGATTATCGACAGGCTATAGCGTTCGGAATACACAACGTAATGTGATTGGCTACCGGATATATAATTCACAATGTGATTGGCTACGAAGATGTACCGAAGCCAAACTTTCGACATTGTGAAAAAAAAAA